GCAGAAACACACAAGGTTGCACACACAGAGGCGGAGGTCTTTTTTAGATTGTTCCACATAGGATTAAGCCAAGGCCTTCTGAGTTAACTTCCAGAAACGATTCTTCAGTCCAGCTGGACAGGCAGGACCAAGTCAGGAGAGATCTCAGCTTTTGTTCACCTCCCTCATCCCATATGGAAAGTTCCCTCTATATATTTCTACTCAGTTAATAATCATGAGTTTTTCAAAGACCTGATATAATCTTGGTTTAAGATTCAAGTCCTCCATTTCTTTCAAGTCCAAACTAATTTTGTTATTTGAATGATGATACAGTACATCCATAGTCAACAGTAGAGATAATACAGTATATAATAATGATGAAAATAACATTTAATTGTAATCTAATTTTCATTCTATAGTTTTGTTTCATAAAGAAGCATAGTAAGGTCTTTGAGTGACAGAGACCAGGTTTCATATAGATTATGATGTGTGTGTGTGTGTGTGTGTGCGTGTGTGTGTGCGCGCACGCGTGCGTCCCTCAAAACCATTACAGAGCTAGATATAAGCTGCCTGGAAACTATTTGTTGAGTGACCCAGTGGTTGAATTCTGAATTTTTGACAATACCATACTTACTTGTATAATTTCCACTTTCCCCATTATTTTCATGAGCATTTGGGCCCCCAGTCCACCATTGCCTTCAAGAATCACCCTTCAGGGAATCCCTCACTTACTAACTACAGTGACTTTAATAATGTGCCACAGCAACCAGTGGCAATGTTAATTAGAATTGAGATCTGACATACTCATTTGTTTTACTTCAGCAATTCTTCCATTCCTCAAAAGAGCTGTTATGAACAACATTATCAAGTGGCTAAACCACTTTTGGTAAAGCAATAGTCTGTGACTGAGAGCAGTTTGTGTGTGTGTGTGTGTGTGCGTGTGTGTGTGTGTGTGTGTGTGAAAGAGAGAGAGAGAGAGAGAGAGAGAGAGAGAGAGAGAGAGAGAAAGAGAGAGATGAAATGCAAGTGTCAGAAGCAAAGTTGACAGACAGGTGGGGATTTATAGGTAGAACAGGTGAAATCTCCTTGCCCTCCAGTGTAAGGTGTGGAGTTGAGTTCCTCTGTTGTTTTGGGAGGAAGGCTGTCTGTTACAGCGCTAGTGTATTTCACTAGGAGACTAGTAGTTCAGTGGCCCAGTGGCAAGGAGACAATAATGACCAGGAAGTGTGAAGAGAAGAAGGAGGAAGAGTGAAGGACTCATTCCCTTCTGTTCCAAAAGAGCCCCCGGAAGCACAGAAATCCATATTCATGTAGTTGTTTATTCTAGACAAAGACCCTCTGATGAGCACTCTTCAAGTACATTTTAAGTAATATCCAAGGTATGTGAACTTCAGATATTTTATTTTATACATTTTTGCTAGTGGAATTATGGCATTTTTTAGAATAGTATTGGCACATACTCGTTTTTTTTCTTTTCAGAGAAACAAAAGCTGCAAAACATAAACATTTTTCATTTTCTCCTTTTCCCCCTCAAAACTGGTATAAGGGTACACTCGATAGATATAAATGTGATGCTATATTTGGGAGCCATTGACTTGTTCTAAAAGTTCAAGTAAGTAATAAAATAAGTGTGATGCACACTTACTTTTGAGTGGTCATGTCAATGATTCCACTTTCACATAAGAAACCCTGACATTATGTAAATGACTATACTTTTGCCCCTACTTTTCATATTTCTTTGAATGTAGACTCAAAAACGTCTTTATCAAAAATGCAACAAAAATATGTCCTTCCTTCCCTTTTGTTTACCACCTTCATAATCTCAGGTGGAGAATGTGAGAGACTCCAGAAATTTATGTCATTTCTTCTGGTCATGAGATGACTTACTGCTCTACAAACAGAGCTGAAAAGACTCAGGAGAGATTTAAAGGCCATAAAGCCAAAAAGATGCTTCTGGAGTTTCTGGAGGGAGAAAGTCAAAGTTCATTATAAATTCTGTTTACTGTCTGAATTTCTTGAAAGATTCATGTCACAGTGTCACAGACCTATTACCCATTTTTATGCAACTTACTAAGTGTTCAGTAAAAGTGAATTGGGTACCTTATCATTGTTTCATTTCCATATATTTCACAAGTTCTTCATCCTTTGCTCACACATTAAAGTGTTTGGATTCCCCAGGTCTAATCTCAGTTCCCTTCACCTCTGTTTCCTGTTCTCCTAGTTTAGAATCAGCTAGTCTTATGGTGTTAACCATTCCAAATGTCTCTAGTCTCAATCTCTAATTCCACTTAATCTCTTCAGCTCCAGATCTGTAATTCCAACTGTCTGCTCTCTTCTCAATCAGATGTCCCAGAGCACTTCCAACTTAACATAGTCAAAATAGAAGTGCTGGCTTTCCCATCTAAACCCTGCTCAGCATCTCATATTAACCACCTCTGTCTCAGCACGTGGCCTCCCAGTCACCCATGCTTGGAGCTGTGAAGTCATCATTGGATCTATCATCATGGAAACGGAATTACATTATACCTATCTTAAAAATATTTAAATGAATACAAAATATCCACCACATAATGTTCAAAACCTAAACATGATGTGGCAGGTACTGTCCATTGCTTATGCAATGTAATCTCCCCTTACCCTTGCAAATAGTCTGTGGATTTCGTTTCTAGGTATCAGGTAGAGGCCCCTTGCTTTAAGGGAAAGAAGGGCCTTTTCTAAGCCCATGGAAATACCATTTCCTTTCACAAAGTGATTGGTCCAGAGAACATATTTCCCAGTTCTGACCAACTAAATGAAAGGGGCATGATGCCCAGAACTGTCATAGCCAGTTTGTGGTTATGAAAAAAACTCAAGGGCATCAGAACAGGAGAGTTAGAAAGATAGAAAGTTCCTAGGTCCTCAATGACTCCCTGAATAGTGGCAAACACTTGAAGCTCCCTGCCTCCAGATTGGGTGCTACAGAAGTTAACAAAGGTCATTATTACTTAAGCCACTGCTAATTGGTACTTTGTGGTTAAAAGCATTTCCAATATGCAAGGCCCTTCAGGATTCTTACTATCTGGTCCCAACCTACTTTGCAGTTTCTTTAGTCAACCTTCCTCGACCCCTCACACCAAACACACATTCCATCCGTTGCATTCAAGGTTTTCATGCAGAAGGCAGACTTCTTTCTTCTGTCATCTTGTAAGCAGCTCTTGATATTTCAAGCTCTAGCTCAAATGTAGCATCCGTAAGCAATTATTAGTTAATCTACCAAAAACTCCCGATTGTTCTTGCCAAAATCATACCTGCCATGAAAAATTAACTTCTTATCTGTTTTGCATGTTATTTGTATATAATACATTATATTGCAACGATCCATCTGTCTGTCTTTCACTTGAATTTGAGCACCTAAATGTGAGATGTCTTACTTATCATTGCCAGCTCAGATTCTACAACAATGGTGGTTACATAATATACACTCAGGTAATGCTTTGGTTTTTATAAAACATATCTTTGGTCACAATAACAGATATTGTGCATGTTTTTGGTTAGAACTTGTACAAATTTATATAATTTAGAAATGCTAATAAGAAACCTAAAACTAATCATTATTCCCAATTAAAGTGTGATGTTAACCTTCTTTGGAGTGGCCTTTTTCCCTACAAAATACTATTTGTTCTCTATGTTTCTTTTTCTTTTTAACAAAATGCACAAATATATTTTTCTCATACACCTATATATTTATTTATACTTTATTATAAATTTTTTTTCAAATTTCTGCTAAATTCCCATAATATTCCTTCCCCCAGGTTTGAACTCATGTTGCTCAAATTAGTTATAGAGCTGCATCACCAAAGCTTTAAGTTCCATTTTAAGTATGGGGAAGTTATTGTTCTGCTTTTCCTGAGTACTCTTCTAGAAATATCCCTTCCCCAGAAACTATTCATCCTGTTTCAATTTTAACTTGTGCATGACCCTCAGAGAGACCACATGCTAAATTAATGTAAATTGCTTTCCAAGGTGAGTATCAGAGTTGAAAAGAACATTAAAGATTGGTCATTTCTTCAGGACCCTAACACTGTTAAGGAATAGAAACATGAAAACTACAGGCGGCTGCCTGATTATTTGTTGTTTATTTCAATTGACAGCTTTTTGTAAGTCTATCACACAGATGAATCAGTTCAAAGCAAGTATATGCTGCTTTTTAAAAATTGAAGTTTCATAACATTTATCTATTAACAATGCAAATTGCATTGCAAATTTTAATTTCAACTTTGAAATTTAAAGGTATATTAGATTATAGTTTTCTATTTTTGACTTAGACTTGGAAACATAGTCCCAGGTAAAATTCTTCAGCTCACCACTTCAAATGCCTCCTAATGTCTACTCCCTCTATTGCCTTCAGATCAACTTTGTTACATTTTAAAAAATATTTTTTATTAATTTCAGAGAGGAAGGGAGAGGGAGAGAGAGAGAGATAGAAATATGAATGATGAGAGAGAATCATTGATCAGCTGCCTCCTGCTTGCCCCCTATTGGGGATCGAGCCTACAACCTGGGTATGTGCACTTGACAGGAATCAAACCTGGGACCCTTCAGTCCACAGGCCGAAGCTATATCCACTGACCCAAACCAACTAGCATGTCTCTGTTACATTTTCATCCTCAATTTTACTTTCTGCTAATTTCCGAGTTTCTTAAAATCTGTTTTGAAGCAAAAGAGGCATAAACTTTAAATCCCTTTAACTTTATAAATAAAAAAAAATTGCTTTAGGTGATGACTCTAGATAAAATTTAGTTTTCAAGGCTGCCACATCACACGGCTCCAAGAAACACCATTCACTACTCTGTTGTCCATGTGAATGATGGTCCCTGGAGTGGTCCAATATATTATTACCTTCTGTTATGTGAAGGGCTATTCATGCTGTCTCTACGAGTAGAAAGACATATCTGTGGCTATGGTTCTCCAAGTGATAATTGCATAAGAGCAGTTTCCAGAGACATGAGGCTACCACCTATCTGGGAGATTATCTCTCTTACCTGAGCTGTGGTTTCCTGCTAACAAGGTGGGGCTCACAGAGCATCTTCCCAGTCTACTGGTGACCACAGGTGGCCCTGGTGTTCCATCCCATTCCTGAGCTTTGACAGGCTCTCTGGAAGATGCCCCATGGTGTCCTTTCTCTTTGCTGTCCAGCTTTGGCAGTGGCTCTGTGCTGTGGCTTCGCACTTTCAGCTCCTCTGTTGATTCTGTGTGTTAACCAAAATTGATGCGGTTAAACAAGAGTCAAAGCCTTCTTAGGTTCCTTTAAAAAGTTGAAGAACAATTTCTAAATGCTTTCAATGTATTTTAGAAACCTATATGTGTATTAGAGATTACAACATTTCAATATATCAGGGAGGCATTCAGGTTAGTATCGCTGGCAAAGAGCTTTCTCTTAGGAAAAGAAGCTCAGTGAATCTTGAGACTCCTTTAGTAACTCTTCCCTGAGCTCATTTTGAAGAAAATATCTTAAAGTGTTCTTTATACTCACTGTCTTTACTGTCTCATCTTTTTTTACTCCACTGCTCACTGTGACATAATTCATTCCAGCCACTCTACTAAACTGCACTTACTAATATCTCCTTGACCTTTGAGTAGGCAGATTTAGAAGACACTTTAAAGCCATTTGAAAACTCCCTGATACTCTCTTATTTACATCTTCAATTCTCTTAGCTTCCTGATGGCCCATCTTCCTGTGTTGTGTTCTATGTCTCACACCATTTCTGTGTCATCCATAACTTGTCTTCCACTATGCATCCCTTATATGATGGTTGTCCCCATGGTACTAGCTTACCACTGTTTCCTTCATTCTATCTTTTTGTTATTTTTATCCTCCAAGATTCAACTAGCAATTGTCTGGTTGTTAGTGATTTCTAAATATTTTATCACAAGCCTGGACCATTCTCTGGAGCTTTAGACTAAAAACTTCCTACTGGATAAGTGCCCATGGAAAACACAAGTTCGGCATTTCATACACTGACACCATTTTTTACTAAACTATTAGGTCCTGTTGTCCAGCCAACCATCCAGCTTGAAGCTCGCTCTCCTTTTCTTTAATTGCTATTCCCCAAATCCATCATTCAGCTGATTCTACACATTTTATTTCTGAATATCATACTCTCTTTTCTGTTCCACTTTGTATCATGTCTACTTCAATTTCTATGGTTCAAGCTTGATCATCGCCCTTGAACTATTGCTTTGACTCCTTAAAATATAAACTCCAAATTGCCAATGTGATCTTTTTAAAGTAAAAATATTATCAAGTGTTATTTCAGGGAATGGTTTTGATAGTCTTTCTGTAATGCATGCACAGTAGTATTTAAAAATACATGTAATAAATATGGTTTTAAGAGTGCTGTTACCTTGCTACTATGAGAAAAATGTTATTTCAGGGAATAGCATTTTATAAAAGACATAGAGAAGTGTTTGAAAAGAAAAACAACCCCAAAAATGCAAATCTACTCATAATGTACCCCTGACTAAAATCCTCCCAGAAGATTCTTGTTACCCACAGAATTATGTTGAAACTCTTTGGTATGACCCAAAAGATTCGCCACCATCTCTCTCTTTCCTTCCTCTCTAAGTTTGTCACTTTCCCACAAACAGTGTATTCAAAAAACAACACTAAGTATGTTGTAATGTCTTCTTCTCCATCCCAGCTCTAGCAAAAATAATGCTGTTTTTTTTAAATGCCCTTATATCCTGTCTTTGTTCAGTTAACTCTACACGGGCCTGGTTACTCAATTTAAGTACTGTCTAAAGCAGTGATGGCGAACCTTTTGAGCATTTTGAAAAACCCTAACTTAACTCTGGTGCCGTGTCACATATAGAAATTTTTTGATATTTGCAACCATAGTAAAACAAAGATTTATATTTTTGATATTTATTTTATATATTTAAATGCCATTTAACAAAGAAAAAGCAACCAAAAAAATGAGTTCGCATGTCACCTCTGACACACGTGTCATAGGTTCGCCATCACTGGTCTAAAGCCTTCCCCACCCATATGCCACCCTGTGCTGGGGTATCATTTTTCTATGTATTTGCTCTTATCAAAAGGCCCTGAGTTATTTAAAAGCAGGGTCTGATTTTTTTCTGATTTTTTTTTCATTTGGTACCTCCAGCACCCCTAGCATATTGGTCCACAGGCATTTAATGAATTAATTAATTTAGTAGGTTTCTCAACTCCTCCAGCATCTTTCCCATGTGTGTAGGAAATACAACATTCCTAATGGAACAAGAGAATCAAGTGAGTGTTGTAAGTGTATTAAAGTGGCACAGAGCTGGTTGCAGTTTCAAAAATCTGATTATCTAACAGTCACAAATTGTAAAATTTACTATATTTAAAGTTTCATTCCAATAAAGGATCTTTGAGAAAGACTGAAGTGAAAAAAAATTCACAGAAATGATTCAGAGGATCTGCATTTTGTTTCTTTATGTGTAGGTTCAAATACCCATGAACTTTCAGCTATGGGATAGAAATGTCACACTCTGTTTCCCCATTACCTGTCTGTATGGCAGAGCTGCTTACATGGTTTACCAACCTAAGACCATGGCCAGGGTTGCAAAGCCGGACATCTGGGTAAGGAACCAAGATGCCTGGCTTTGCAGCCCTGGCCATGGTCTTGGGTTGGTAAACCATGTCACTGAACACTCAGTTTCTCCTCTTGGAGTCTCATATTTCTTATCTAAAAACTAGAGGCCCGGTGCACAAAATTTGTGCACAGGTAGAGTCCCTAGGCCTGCCCAGTGATCAGGGCCGATCTGTGGGGTTACCGGCGGGACAATGGGGGGCCCCCACTGGCACCTACCTTGGCTGGCCTGGGGCCTGCAAACTGGAGGCAGCTCCTGCATTGAGCATCTGACCCCTGGTGGTCAGTGTACATCATTGTGACTGGTAGTTCTGCCGGTCATTCCACCATTTGGTCGATTTGCATATTAGGCTTTTATTATATAGGATGGAGATAATACCAGCTCTGCCTAACTTTCCCACTTTAATTAGAAGGATCTAATAATATTCTACATTTTAAGATATTTTCAAAATAAAGTGCCATACACAGTTAAAAGCAATATTGAATTTAAATAAATTATAGCCATTTGTCTTTTATGAATTTTTAAAATCTTTCTACATTTAGACTAGATGATCACTGAGAGACTGAATATACACATGGAAAACTGCCAGTAACATATAAAAATGGAGCTCTAAGCTATTATCTAGAGTAGCAGTGCAGGAAGCCAACCTGCTATCTACAAGTCAGGCTATCTCTCTAGCAACCAAGTCAGGAAGCCATACTGTGTAACAATTGGCCCAAAACAGCCAGGATTTTGGACCCAGTTTCCAATGAAGAGCCAAACAGAGAAAGTCAAATATATACCCCAAATTAATCACATAGGATGCCTTGCTTTTAGTTAGCCTGCCTACAGCTTCCCCAGGCCAACAGTCTCCAACTGGGGCATATCTGAAACTCTCTATTTTTCCCACTATAAAGATTTCTCATTCTTTTCCCTGCCTTTGAGTGCCTGCCAAGTGTAAGTGCTGGTGGCTGACTGCCTTGGTATCACAAGCTCTGAATAAATAGCCTTTACCTATGCTCATTTTTTGGTCTTTATTTACCTCCACATTGTTATAGTCTCTTCCAACTCCAAGATGCTATACAGCTGTGTGAGCACATGCCATGAGTATCATTCTATGAGCTAGAACTTAGACCAGGAGGGTCATCTCATAGAAACAACCTCAGAAAAGTCTGGTCTTTAAATGTGTCTGTATATAAGCCTATGTCCCAGTTACACTAAAATCAAGTGTAAGTCAAAATATTTTTAAAGTAATGCATTGCAGCATAACAATTACAGCAAAACAATTTAGCCAGAACTTGCTTTTCGGTGCCCTCAGTCAACTGAAATAAAACAAGTATCATAAAGGAACATCTTAGATTATTTCCAAGCTGTTTATTCACAATTTCAAAGAAAAATGGACTCTGGCTTCCAAATGTCACAGTCTCAAAGCCTAATGTTTCACCTCACCATCTCTTCCAGATTCTAAACAAACCATTGGGATGCTTAATTTTTTACTGACTTCTATATTTGTTTCCACTATCATTAATAAATATTTCCCATTTTACACACACACACACACACACACACACACACACACACACACACCACAGAGTCTTCTATCACTGGACTTAAAACTAATCAAACTAAAAAAATACCCAAACATTGGGTCCAATATTGTATTTACAGATTAGGACATTTTTTTTTGTATGTGTGTGTGTGTGTTAATCCTCACCCTAGGATAGTTTTCCGTTGAATTTTAGAAAGAGTGGAAAGGAGAGGGAGAAACAGAGAGAAACATCCATGTGGGCTGGGGAACCTGCAACCAAGGCACGTGCCCTTGAATGGAATCAGGACCTCTCGGTCTGCAGGCCTATGCTCTATCCACTGAGTCAAACCAGCTAGGGCTAGGACAACATTTTAAATACAAAAGGCTGAGAATGTGTGTCAAGACACCTCCATCAACATCAGTTTCTTTGTTTTCATTCAAATTACTGGCATATACATACCAGGGTGGTGCACTTAGATCTCAAACCTCAACTAAGTAAAATCCCAACACAGCTATGGAAACAAAATGGAGTCTTTCTTTTTTCTTCTTTTCTTCTTTCTTTGTTTTTAAGTCCCAGAGGTTGAATTTTGGTAGGCATAATTAGAACAAAAAGATCAAAGAAATCATGCTACTCAGACTTATACCTTAACATCTGCCTCCTAAATAGAAGGACAAACTGAATAATCTGTAAGAAAGTCATTAATGTATTTATTGAGCACTTGATTTGAGAATGAATCTGGTTTCCTATATATTTAGGTACAGCTTTCTACATTATGCACTTTCTAATTAAAATAAATAAGAAAATCTTCAAAATAACTGTTGAAAAGAGACAAATGGAACGTGGACAAATAGTCTAAGAAATATATACAATAAAACATATTGACAGCTCAAAGACATCTATTCAGAGGAATAAGGACATATTTATCCATGTCCATCTATTTCAATGTTTTCTGAAAGCCTGTTAGAAAAAAATTTGTTTTAGTAACATAAACCTTCCTGGACAAGATCAATCTTAGGTACTGTGGTAGAGTTTTGTGTGAAATCTAAGTTATTTTCACAGTTACAGCCCCAGTGTGTAGCACAGGGCCAACTATATAGATTGAGCTC